GAGGGATACGATTGATTAAGGCAGAAGTAGAGATTAAAACAAAAATTGGGTTGAATTATTTACAGATTAAGGTAATGCCTTGAACAACTTTGATTTGTTAGAATAAAATTTATACACTCCTTGGCACACAGTATAAGGTCAATATAATAAAAGCTACTCCTATTCCAACTATAAATATCTTATATGGCTGTTCAAAAGGTCAATATTAACTTTTATTTACACAAGAGTAATCTTTAGTTCAGGAAAGGTAAGGATCCCACTCATCATGGGGGAGGTATGGAATCCACTTTGAGTACATTGTCAAGAGGGCTGATAATGACTGATGTGTCAGTAGGGAAGGGTGAATCACACAGGTAGTGAGAAGTCAGGCATTGAATGGTTAAAATAACTGGGGCTGTGAAGAGTGAATAACGGAAGGCTGAGGGGAGAGATGATAGCTGTCTTCAGAGATTTGAAAGGCTTTTTGTGGAAGATAGCATGTCCTTGTTCTGAATGGAAGGTGATGGCATGAATGTTTGATTCAATCAACAGAAAAAGGAAGTTTCTCTTAGTTGAGTGTTCTTCAGTGCTAAGGATTCAAACAGATGTTCAGTATTCATTATGTCTGGAATTCTATCAGAGGATTCCTGTATGAGAGGAATGTGGCCTGGCACTTTCCATTTTAGGATGATATGTGGGGCAGGCGGAGGCCACCAATATTATGAAATTCCAGGAAATATGCTGGGTGCTCTGTACCATTAGTTCACTGAGTCGGCCTGATGGTCTCATGAATTAAACACTGTAAGTGTTATTACAGATTAGCCTTACGTAGTTTACATAGTAAACTGCCAGAGTTTATAGTGCCGGTAAACTACAGGACCAAGTTTTAAACCCAGGTTGTTGCATTAAAAGACCGTGTACTCGCCTCTACACACTCCATTTGCCTTTTGAAGAAAATGAACAAATCCTTAGTTTAAGGACAGAAGTATCAAAATACACAGATTTTACTAATGTACTGACCAGTCAAAAGCACTGGCTTCTTGAAATACTTTAGCTATGATTCATGTAATTGTATAGCAATATTAGTACATAAGTTTATGAATAGTTAACATATAATAACACATTAAGTATACTACTCCTATCTTTCAGATATATGTACATTTGTTTCCGCTACCACGATGGCTAATTTTATCTATCCACTTGGCTGGGCCTTAGTGTTCAGATATTTGGTCAAACATTATTCTGGATATCTCTGTGAAGGTGTTTTTTAGATGAGATTAACATTGAAATCACTGGACTTTGAGTAAAGCATATTACTCTGCATAATGTGGGTGGGCCTCATCCCGTCAGTTGAAGGCCTGAATAGAACAAAGACTGACCTCCTCCAAGAAGGAATTCTGCCAGCAGACTGCCTTTGGATGTGACTGCAACTCTTTCCTGAGTCTCCAGCCTGCTGGCCTACCCTGTAGATTTTGGACTCGCACCTCATAGTCATGTGAGCCAATTTCTTAAACCTCTCTATATACATATACACATCCTGTTGTTTATGTTTCTCTGGAGAACTCTGATAAATTCAATTATTTATATTTCTTTCTTTGCCCTTGTGTTTCCTGGTTTCTATTAGCTTTAAAATTCTATGAGTGGAACAACTACATGTATGAGCTGGGAAGCAGATCCTTCCCCAGTTGAGCCTTCAGGTAACACCACAGCCTTAGCCAACACCTTCATTTCAGTCTCATGAGAGACACCGTACTCAGCTGTGCTCAGATTCCTGAACCCGAGAACTGTGGAATAATAATAAATGTTTTTTGCTTTAATAATATTCTGTGAGTGGAACTTAATTTCCCTTGAGATGGTCTGGTGTAATAGAGACAGATTTGAATTGCAAGACCTGGGTCCTAGCCTCTGGTCACTTGAATCTGTAGACCTGGGTCCTAGTTCCCAGTCACTTCCAGCTAGTTTGTACAGCTCTCACATCTCTGAGTCTCATTTCCCTGTCTGTAGTATGAGAGGACTAGACACTAGAACTTTAGTTTCCCTTAAGTGCTACAGTTCAATGTCTCTATTAATCATATGGTTTAGTCATCAGAATAAATATTGATAAAAGTCACAAAAAGAACACACCCTGGATTTTCAGGCCTCTGGATTTGGTGGCAGTGTTCCAGCATCCTTTGCGCAAGGAGTTAGCTGTCTGTGTTCAAGTCCTGCTCTACTTCTTTTTTTCCACCCCAACTGTTCTCTATCAATAGCCAATCAATGCTATGTACATTTTTTGGCACTTCTGTGTGTGGCCTGTGTGTGGATGCGTGTATGTGCATGTTCACAGTTCAAGCCGGGCTGCTCTGGCTCTGGATGTGCATACAGCACTGGCATTCGGTTTTGCCTCCAGCATTTTCATGGATTAACTGGCGATTCCGAAGGGGAAGGGAACGTCTTTGAGAGTTTTAGTCCTTGTTTTTCTCTTCTTATTTCCAAGGAGATGTGTCCAGATCCCTTTGCGAGGCAGCTACTCTATAGGAGCACTGGAGGCCAGGCAGTGGACTTTCCCTACTGGGTAACTGAATTTGCATTTA